AGGCCCAGCTCCCGCACCCCTCCGCTCTCCCTCTCCTCCCTTCTCCGGGGCTCCCCCCACGCTGTGTCCATCTCTTTTTGTCTCCCTGTTTCTTTAGATCCCACCACAGACCTTCCCTCCCCGCGCTGCTGGACAGCCCTGGCTGGTCGGTGAGCATCCGCTACCCCTCAGTAGGTTGGGCAGAGCGGAGAGTGGAGTCGCAGGGCTGCTTGCTCGGGGCGAGTGCTCCAGGCAGAGTAGAGTCCAAACCCCCAAGAAGAAGCTTTAGAGTGAGTCAACGTGCCCTTACACCAGCAGACAGCTCATCTGATCCCTCATCTTGCTTGTTGCAAGACGCAGACTGCATTTGTCAGGGAAGCTCAGCTCCCTTTTAGCTCCCCAAAGGCTGCACCCACAGAGGTGTACGGGCAGCTGCACACTCCACCAGAAGGCCAGACTTGGCAGCCTTGGTCCAGAAGCTGTGTTAGCACAACACTGTGCCTGATGCACAGAGGCTCAGCATCGCTTCTTTCCCTGGGTGCCTAAATGGCAGCTGAACTCTTCTGACAATCTGACCCAGTCCCCCTTTAAAACAGAAGGTAATGAAGGGTGCACGGCGTTCAGCATGCTGACCTCCAGCTCCGGGGATGGTCCAAGCGGCCACCGGAGCAGTTTATTTCACTGTTTTCGTAAAGTATTTTAATGTACCCAGTTTAAAAGTAAATAAATTGTCTTCACCACAAGCTGCAGTCCTCCTCCTGGCCATTTTCACACTTATTCATATATTGCATGGCTTGGAAATCCACCCAGGTCCCAGAACAGCATTAAACTTGTAAGGCCTGACGCTGAGATGGCCAGCATACCTGCAAGTCTTGTCCTTGTCCACGGGGATTTGGCTTTAAAGCTTCCCAATTCAATATCTTAAACAGCTCAGACTTCTGCAATTATGTTGATGCACTTTTCTGTGTCAAAGGATGACGCTGCAATCCTGCAAAGTTAATCTGCTTGGGGTTTTTGTTGGGTATGGTGCTTTTAAAAATAGATTACGAAGCAAGCAATATAAGAGACAGGTTTTACAACTTGTTTTAAATAGAAGTAAGCTTACTCCTCCTTTCACCCAGGTTTTCCTTCAGGCTTTTTTTTATTGCTTGATGATAAAATCTGCAGAAATAAGAACTGTTTATGCCTTTGCCTGCTTGAAGTTTCAAGTGCAAATGTCTAAGCGCATGCTGTTTAAATCTCCTGTTTGTTTTGTACGTTTGAGTTCTGCAGACAGACCTGTCTCGCTTCAAACGGGTTTGCCTGACCTCAGGATTTTATGTATGGCAGGAACTGGGCACCTTCCCAACAGTCTTAGAGACTGTGGAAAAGGGAGGCTAGGCTGAGCCTTTGAACTTTTGGCAACTGAACTCGGAGCTATGGAGTTCAGGTGAAGTTTGGGACAGATCAGTTGGGCAAAGGGTGAAAACACGTTGACCACTGCCCATTCTGCAGTGTCCCTGTGTTAGACCTTGTTCTGTCCGTCCTGTATCTATCCTTACTACCACGTTCATACACAATAAACACAAATACACATGTTGTGCTTCAGCCCTCCTACCTGTAGTTCAGCAACACTGAACCAGGTTAGTATTTGGACAGGAGACCTTCCAGGAGAGTTTATTTGCTGTAGGAAATAGTGTTCACTTACTGAGTAGTATTTTTCCAGTACTGAAGTCAGTCATGAGTCTTCTGGTTCTGGGACCATGAGCTGTAGGAATTCCAGCTTTGAATGGAATAAAAGCAAGTTCTTCAGCGTTTTTGGTCATGATGGAGTTTTTGGCAGTTGACTGCAGAGTAGGAGAGTATCCTGGCCGAATTCCAACCTGGGTGATTACATTCAGCTGACTGAAAATGAGCAGCGATTGCTGCATTTCACTGTTGGGCAAAGTCATTTCCACGCATGGGCTTAAATTCGTAAAGTGGCTTGGGGTAAAGCAGAATGAAAAGGACTTACAGAAATGTGCCTTTAACCCTCCTAGGTTATTCCTGAAGGCCTTGCAAGGCTTTCCAGTTTGCTGTCACATTCCTCTAAATGCTGGGCATCCAGCTGCTGGGCCATTGCTTGGAATGGCTGTACCCCATCACAGAATGGTCTTAGAACAGTGCTGCTTTTTATGATGATTCCCACACATCAAACAAGGAAATAAAACAGAATGGGAGAAGAATAATAAAAGAACATTCAGAGTTTCCTTTCTGAGAGATTGAAGTGCAGTGACAGCACTGTTCAGGCTGAGCTGGGGTTGGTGTTTGGTTTTCCAAGAGTCTGAGTGATCCTTTGATTCAAGAAGGTAGAGAAGCTCTGGTGTAAGATGTAGAAGGCAGTGTGGAAGTGTGTTTCCTGATATATATGTAGCGCAATGTATAACATTTTTCTTTTTCTATCCCTGACTTTCCCTTCTTTATTTTGTACCCAGATTTTCTTGCTCCTGTCTGAAATGTGCCTTGTAACTTTACAAGTTTGCAGAAGACCACTGTGTTTCACTGGGATAGGAATATTGCATCTGCTTCGTAGCAGGAGGATGTTATATGTATTACAGCTTAATTCTGTTCTACTTTAAACCTAGATAAAGAATGAAGACTGTCTGTACCATTTTGATTACCTCTTCTAGGGTTCAAAGAGAGAACCATTTCCCCTGACCTTCATTTGCTAATGGCTCAGCTTGACCTAACCGGTATACAGATAAACTTGCTGTTAAACAAAAATTCCGGTAGGAAGAACCACCTCAATGTCCAAAATTCCTTTGCCCCTGCTGGTATCGGTGGCTCTCTGTAACCATCTAAAAGCTGAACTACGCAGAGTCCCGAGAGCTGTTCACGAGAAGCTTGTGTCTGAATGAACAATGCTGCCATCGTCTTGAGAGATGAGACGAAGGACCCATCACAATGACAGCTCTGCAAGTTCCAAATATGAGAGTCGTGCATACGGAGTTTCATGCTTTGTCTCCAGAGTGATCTTCGTTCTTGTTAAGCTAATTCCACCTCTTGTCACAAGTTTTGCTTTTGGGATTTAGACCATCATTAAGCCACGGAACTCCTGTGTTAGTCACTTTTTTTCTTTTCTCCTTTCCCCCCCCCACACTCTGTTTTACACAAAGACTGTTAACATGACTGTTAGTGGAATAAGCAAAGCCAATATTCACAGGGTTTAACTCTCTACCAATAGCACCTTTTGCCCCAGAATGCCTTACAAACACCATACCGCACGCATGTCCCAGAGTACGACTTGTCATGCCGTTTCTGTTCACTTAGGCACCACCTTAGTTTCCCAAGCTGACGCTTAGGGACGTTTCAGCTCATAGCATCTCATACCATAAGTCAGACGCCACCCAGAGGTGCCTTTCAGGTCTGAGAGCTTTCTCCGTGAATGTATTCCGAGCTAAAGAGACCATGTGTGCATCCTGCGGGTTGATGCCGTCCACCTAACGGGAGCATCCTGACGTGACGGAGGGCATGGCAGCGGGAGGGCATGCTGGCACTCCTCCTGTCCGACTGTGGGTGCGACGAGTAGGTGTTTACTGCGATGAGCACCGCAAAACGTGGCTTGTGGCTGCGGAAGAGGCAAGTGTCCTTTGAGCTTCCCAGTGCTTGTAGCTTTGCTATTGCAGGTGCCTCTACTGCATTGCCAGTAACTGCCTGCTCTTTTTGTTACTTTCCCCCAGGAGGAAGGTATGCTGAGGGCTCGGATCCAAAGAGTTCAGGTTCCCCTGGGTGAGGCGCTGCGACCCAGCCAGCTCCCCCCATCCCGGCTGCCTCATATGTGGCAGCTGTCCCAGGGTGAGCAGTACAGGGATAGTAACTCTCGCGTTTGGGAGATAGAGCACCATCTCATGGTAAGGATGGTGGCAACAATAGGCCATAGTCATGCCTGTTTGTGAAGTCGTTTGAGATCCTTGAGGGACGGCAAAGGACTGTTATTTTGTTGAAGTCCGTTAGCTCAGCCACAGTAACTGTAGACGTATTGAACTTTTCCTTGTCGCTTACAGCTTGGTGGTGTTGAAGAACTGCTGCTTAAACTCGTGCCTGGTGATTAATCTGGTATGTGTAGACGTTATCCCTGCTTTGTACTGTGCTCTTGTTTATCCCCAGTCATTCTTTAATATGAATTTTTGTCTTTCAGGAGCAGTGGCTCTAGGAAGATGTCGTTGTATATTTTGTACAATAAATGATTCTCTCACCACTGAAATGCAGCCACCTCTGAGGTGGAAGCAGTTTAACAACACACAGCAGCATCACACAAGAGTTTAGGACAGGCAGTGAAGAGGAGTATTGTGTCCAAGTGAAACATCAGGGGGAGTTCTAGGTAGGCAGAATGTAATTGCCCTAAGTGGAGTTTGGCCAGGATGCTGGAAGTAATGCCCTAGCAATGTTGGAAAGTGCTGTGGGCTGGTGAACGGTCAGAAATTGGCAAGGCAGCACCTCCCTAGTGCTGGGCAGGGGCAGGAGCTTAACTGTGACCCAGAGGGAGCTGAAGTCCTGTGACCGCTTCCAGTAACAGCGGTGCTTTCCTGTAGAGGTCTCCCATCCAACTACTAGTAATACCACCAGGTTTCTGCTTGTCCTTTGATGTCTTAACAGAAAATAAGAGTTACAGGTGTCACAGCTGCAGAAAGTCCAACTGTCTGAACCCTGCTTTCTGGGGGTTTGAACAGGATGGAGCTGTCCTCCGTCTGTGGTGGTGTTTGGGGTTTTTTGGGAGGGAGGGATTTCCAAGAGGCTTTCTCCTGGAACATCAGAAAAAGCCCTCCTTGTTGTCTTTATGGGACATACACAACTAAGTTGTTTTGTTTGGTTGTTTTTTAAAATGCCTATATATATATATGTGACTAACACCAGGTCCTTGGCTGTCACAGAGAGGGCTTTTACACACTTCGTGGTACAGTGTAAGGTCTACAGGCACGGAAGTGTTAGTCAGACATGTTAATTTGACTCTTTGCTGGAATCTTTGTGCATCCGAGTGGGAAAGGACACATTTTGGCCAGAAAAAGGCCTTCAAGCCTAGCAACATAAAACTTCCTGTATTCATTGTCCACGTTATCATCCTTTAGTCAGACACAGAGAATTCTTGTGTATGTTGGCAGGCATCTGCAAGCAGCATTAGGTATTTTCTGCACTGTCTGTGACAGAGAGGGAAATTGGGAGCTCTTTAAAGTCTTGGCTTTAAGACCGTGTCTTGCTCCCCTGCCCCCTGGAAAGCATGTTGTTTCTACAGTAACATTTTCCTATCATTTTAGTTCTCTGAACATGCCCCAGAAGGATCCCTGCCAGAAACAAGCCTGTGAAATACAGAAATGCTTGCAAGGTACCAAGCATACTTTTGTCTTTTTGGTGGAACTTAATTCTTTTAACTTAATCCTGTTCTCCTTTCACCTTGAGAAGCAAGCAAGCACATTAGCATCACCTAGATGCAAATTGTGATTTCTGGTTTTAATAAATGCCCTTGTGTTTGATTGTAAATAAGGAGACATCATTAGTACCTAACAGCATGTTTGTAACAGTAATATTGTGCTTATCTCAGTGTTATCCATGCTGGTAGTGAGATCCCATGTGTAGTCTTGGGACTCAGCTGTAGGTGGGGAGAGCTAGACATTATAATGAGCTGTTTCAGAGAGTGGGTAGTGAGGATGGTGGGTGGATTGTATGAGAAGACTGCAGAGCTTCTAGATGCAGGGGTGTTTTAAGAGCAGGTCAAACAGATGTCTGTCAGGAACGGGTTTGGTATATGTGATCTGGCCTCAACATATGAGCTGGTCTTCCTCTGAAGACCTTTAACAGCTGCTTTTTATTGTCTTAGCTAAATATTTGTAGGGGTGAGGGACATTATGTGATAACGTGGGTTTTGAGCTTAAGTTGGGAAGAGCAGGCTTGTTACTTGCAGAGGACAATAATGCTTCATGGAAAAGGATTTGCCTTATAGAATGGATAGGAAAAAATATCCCTTTGTGCCAGGGCAGCTCAGCCATATGGGAAAGGGTTCTCCCTAACTCGCCTGGGGGAGGCCTTGGCCAGTGCACGCTGAGCTTCATGTGAGAGTAACTCATGGTGTAAGCCCAGGGACGACAAGGCAGGAGGTGAATGACTGCACAACTAAAATCAGCCAGGCCAGTTCCATGGCGACTCATTTCTGCCTTTATTTTATTTGCAGACTACAAGCAGGTTAGCTAAAACATAGCTGGAGCGGACCATGGGAGGGAAAGCATCTGGGGAAAGCAATAGTCAGTTATTGGTAGATGTCTCTTCCCCAGGGTTGGTTTTTTTTGAAGCTGTGTTCAGTTCAAAGCAAAGGCTCAAACAAAGCGCTCTGCGTGTCCCTGACATTTGTTTAGATACTGCCTTTTACTGTTTTTATTGCTTGGAGCATTCTCCCATGAAAGGCTGCCTTCTCTCCCCATGGTAACTGCACTTAAAAGCTATTGTTTGACCCTGTTTTGGTCCCATTCTTTTTATAATATTCTGGAAGTTATTCCAGGTGTTTCACCTGCGTAGGTTCACGTACAGATCTGATCTGAATGGTTAAGTGTTAGCAAAGCAGCTCTTTGCCTGTGCTGCATGCCCAGTGCGTGTGCACCACTTCTCGTTTTGCAGTGCTGCTGTTACTCATGTGTTACCGTGCTGTGGAGTTGTCTGAGTTGCACAGAGAGCAAAGCAGAGAGATTTGCACAGAGCAGAGCAAACAATTAAATGCTTTTAAGCAGCTCTTGCTTTTCAGAGAAACTCGCTGCCCAGCAGCTGAAGGGCTGAGCTAGATTTGTCCCCTCCAGGGGCAAAACCTGTTCCCCTCTGCAGACTTAGTGTCTCCTTCTTATTTTCCAGTGAACAACTACATGGAGTCTAAGTGTGAAGCTGTGATCCGAGAAATGCGGAAGTGCTGCGCCCAGTACCCCAAGGGCAGATCCATCTGTTGTTCAGGGTTTGAGAAAGAAGAAAGGGAGAGAGAAAAGTTAAAGGTGACGTCAGAAGGAATTCCCCCATCACCTCAGTAACACAATGCAGCTCCAGCAGGTGCCGGAGCAGGGACTCACCTGCAGAGCTCGTGTGTGGTTTTTTCAAGCCTTCTTTAGACTTTCAGGAAAGCCAGATTGCTCCAAGGACACACCACCCGGCACACCAAAAAGTATAACGCAGTACCAACAGATGGCCTCCTTAACAGACTGTATTTTCTGTAACCAAAACATCATCTGCATTGTCTTTGCATTGCACCTGTGTCTGTGAAAAGTCAACTTGATGTTTTTAGAATGCTTACCTTACTCTAATCCATCCTTGCTCTCAAAATGGAGAACTGGAACCAAGTTATTCTAGCTTCTGGAGCGAGAGGTGCAGGAAATGAGCTCAGACAAGTGAGTGAGTTTAAGCATGACACATGAAACAAGCCCATCTTGACACAGCAAAGGTATTGCTGCCATCGTGCAGTAGTTCCAGACATTTGCCTGTCCAGTGGTTCAAGCTCAAGAAAGGGAATCAGGTCTGGGGATTGTTCCTAGGTCTTGCATAGATCACGAGTGACTACAGTCACTTTGCCTAAGTGCCTCACTTTCCCACTGGACAGACTTTTGATTACTTTCTATTTGAATTGCCTACACGCTGCTATTTGCATGACAAAGATGTTACAGGAACATTATTTCAGGGATTGCTACAGGAATAGGGTTTTTTTTAAAAAAAGCAATATTCATTTGAAAGATCTGACTGTTGATATAAAATTTATAAATTTATAGTTGAAAACCTTTAAGCAATATGTTACAAACCCAGCATAGTTCAACCCGCTGGTACCCAGAGGCCTATCACAAAGCCCTGGGCTAGATCCAAGAACTGATTTAGGCGCTGCTTACTCAACAGGCAGTTGTAGGCACTGGCTTTCAACACTTTCACAGACTCACTCCCAAGCCGGCTGTGTCTGGACCCCAGGGAGAGATGGCTTTTCAGAAGCTCTCACCTGTGCAGCACAATTTCCTGTGACCTGTAGGAAGAGCTCAGTAGACAGGTTCCTGCATCACCCTTCAGAGCTGCTTAAGTCTCTCTGCCCCCTGTAACAGGAGTCCAGGCACTTCAGTGGGTGCCATGTCCATTACAGGGCTTAGGCACCTAAATACCAGACTTAGAACCCACTAGGCTCCTAACTCTGTCATTAGATCTAGCCGTAAAGGACTTTTGTGCTGTGATCAAGTACAACTTATGAAATACAGCTTCAGTAAACAGACCACTGTAGTCTAGGCACAATAGTTGAGTGTATTGAAGCCTAGAAGAGCCAACCATCTGTATTCACTGCTCTGAAATACCATGGTACAAAATAAATGACTGGAACAAATTGGAGTCTCAGTTTGGTTGTTTATTGAGAATACAACGTAGCTGCAAGCCAGGCGGCTTGGCTGCTATTCACAGTGCAGAGCTGTGTGTTATATCATCATGTTTAAATAGAAGCTGCTTGGTATTTTCATAACCCATGCTCGAGATCAGAATAATTCAGGGCTAGCCTTCCCTCCCCACTGCCTCCCCCCAGGAAACAAGCTCTTAAGACAAAATATGGGGTTTGATATTCTTGAAAAGTAGGGGAAGGTGATTACAATGTGTGAAGCACCTCAGACACTTGATGAGTTGCTCATTTTTCCATTTTGTCTTACCTGAGCAGGAGCAGTGGAAAGAAAGTCACCAACAGATGATACAAGTATTTAGGCTTCTGCTGTGCCTATTGAAAAGCCTTGTCTCCAGGCCCAGCCCTGCTCAGGTGGTGCAGATTTGCCCAGCAGAGAGGCTCAGAAGCCAGGCTGGCAGCAGAATCACCTCCTGCCCCAGAAGCATCTCACCTATCTGGAACATGGCTGATTGGTACCAAGATCATCAAGGAGAGGAGTTTATTAAAGCAGCCCATGCTTACCTGCAGAGAAGAGGGAAGGCTGGTGGCCTCAAAGAATCATTTAGGTTGGAAAAGACCTTTAATCACCAAGTCCAACCGAGACTACCACTGAACCACGTCACTGCCACATCTACACATCTTTGTACATGTCTTTACACTCACCGGTGCCCGGCACAGGGGGATGATCCCTGCCCTGGCCCTGCTGCCACACTATTGCTGATACAAGCCAGGATGCTCTTGGTCTTCTTGGCCACGGGGGTACACACCTTGGCTCATGCTATTGGACTGGCTGGAAGTGCTTCTGTCAGTCAAACGCAAGACGCAGGGTAAGACAAAACCACTCTGGTTCCCGAGAAGTCAACAGACTTCACACATAGAAGCTATTAGAGCAAAACTGTTTAATAAAATATCACTTCAACAAGCATTTACATACAATATATAAAAACACTTTAAAAGCCTAGTGTGTTTTAAACCTTCTCACACTGTAACAGATGCCAGGAGTTGTTGAAACAAGACCAAAAGGAGCAGGGGTGGGGAGGGGTGGGAACACCTCATCTTGACACCTGCAGCAACGAAAATGCATCCCTACAGAGGTTGGTTCAGCATCAAAGCTGCCAGTGTGGGCCCCCAGCATCAAATGGTGCCAGCCACAAGCCCCACACCAGCACAACAGAAAGATTTACCAGATCCCAAAGTCCTTGTTCATTCCCTGCCTGCATTCACATCAAACTCAACATCATTCTGCCATTTGTTTCGCCTTCCAGCAGCAACAGAGGTGTTTTAGCTCCCTCTCTGGGCAATTTCTCTCCATAGCAGCAAGTTGGGACCCTGTGGAGCAGAACCCAGCACACCCTTCCCTAGGGCTGGGCGGAAATAGTGACTTATTCGAGCCTGAAAAACACGGGCACAGTCTGTTAATGATTTACTTTGAGCTTTGTCCTTGCAGAAAGCTTCGTGGAGATTAGTGCACCTCAGAAGAAGTTGTTATGCAGCACACCAGGAGGAGGGGCAGCAATGCTGTTTTCCTACAGGAACAAGAAAGACCCTGCAATAAAAGTGTATCTATTCATGCATCTACTCTGCAGGGTTCCTAGAAACAAAACACCAAACCAAAACCACCACCATCACGTGTCACTCCCCTCCCAAACACCAATTTCCTGAAGACCTCTTTGCTGCATCACATCAGTCCTGCAGTCCAGGGTGGCTTTTAGGAAGACCATCATTAAAAGGACATAAGCCCAGCTGCTCCTTCATTCTCCTTGGCCATGCACAGCAGGACAGGACCAAGAGACCAACTTCTGTTTCCTGATTACCTGCAGTCATTTTCAGATCCTGAAGGTGGGAAAACCTCGGCTACGTCAACGTGTTTGTTGCTACACTGACACTTCAGTCAACATTAACTGCAAGTCCCAACACCTCTGGTGCAAGAACCCACCCTTCCAGCAGCTCTTGGGGGAAGATCCCCATTTCTGGCCATACTGAGAGCAGCAGTGGATGATCAGAAAGGCATTACACAGTGCTGGAGATGGGGTGCAGCGTCCCCATCACCCGTGCACATCATTGTTCTCTGGCATGTTTCCTATTGCAGGAGAGATGACTTTCACACACAAAGGAAGAAACCCTTGGCAAGAACTCCTACATGTACCTGCTTGGAGGACATCCCATGCTGTCCCCCAAGCCCCCACACTCTGCCAAGTGGCAATGCCAGCCCAGCACAGCCAATGCAAGACACGTCTAAGGGATTTTCTGTCATTTTCTCTTGTAGGTTAGAGTTCTGCTGCGCACACAGCTGCACTAGGACAGACTGTCCAAAAGAGTGGAGCTCTGCATCTGGGGAAGGGCTGCAGCTGATGGAATTAAGCAAGCAGCTTTTTTGGTAGCGATGGTAAACACAAAGAAGGAAGAACATAACCAAAGCAGAAAGTATGGAAATGAGCCACTTCCACAAGAGCACAGCCTGGTTTTCCCAACAGTTTTGTTATGTCAGTTGCTTGCAGAGTCTGGGGAGATGGAGTTTGTGCTCTACAGAGGCAGGTAAAGGACTGAACTCCCGTTTTCCCCTGCCACCACTCCGGCAGAGCTGGCAAAAGGGACCCTGGAGCAATACAACATACCCTGAAGAGACATGGCATTTCCTGCCTATGATCCTGGCCCACATGGTTACAGCTCTAAGAGCATCACCAGCAACAAAGGGGACAGCGGAGGTCACAGCAGACCTAGAAACATCAGTGTGAGGCCCAAGGTCATTTACAGGAAGTCACACAGCTGAAGCACACACTGCTAACCTGACACGGACAGCTCAAGCACACTGGAAGCCTGCCCTCCACAAGAGAGCACCTCAGCACATTTCAAAGGCTAAGCAGTCACTTAGCAAGTGAGAAGCACTGGCTCTAACTCTCTAGAAGCACACTCTAGCAGAACAGGAAGCTTGCTGACTTTCAGAACACATGATGAGGAAAGGGCCTGGAGGTGCACTCGTGGTGCTCAGTTTCCATCAGCAGTGCCAGTGCTGCAGTTCCAGTAAGGGGTATAAATAACACAGAGAAGCAGCCAAACACCCATCTAAGTGCAGTGCAACGGCAGGGGGAGGGCAGGAGAACCCCCAGCACCACATGTAGCATGAACTTGCTCCTTATGAACACAGCCCAGCCTGTCCCAACACTCCAGCATCCACCCCAGGACAACCAAGCACAGTTTGGATTGCACACACCATCTCTGTGCAGAGGGAAGCACAGGCTTTCCAGGTACTGGAGCAGAAAAAGTGCAAGCTAAATAGCAGTGAAGAGCTGAGAGGTGTTGTACACATATACTGGCAGACAAACATACATGTAACAGCCCTGAGCACCTGGGAGGAAGCTCATTTAAGAGGTTTCTCTGCCACTACATGTTTAAGAGGCTGCAACTCATCAGCAAATTTGGGCCTGGGCATATTCAGTGGGGAAAAGGATCACAATGATACACCGGGAGTCATAAACTTACAGAAAAATCCCAGCACCTCAATAGCCCAGAGGAAAAGGTTGGAAATCAGAAGCAGCGTTGTAAGAAAAAAGGCTGGAACCTGTGAGCAGAATGGACTGAGCATGTCTGCAATATCCTTTGACTTCTAAGTGAGAGAAAACAGCAGTAGAGGAGGGCAGGGAAGGCTGGGCATGGAGAGTCGAACGCAGTTTCTAGGATGCCATTCCGAGCAGGAATCCTCCAGCAAAACCTCCAGTCAGGATAACATTCTTCTTCAGAAATATGATCACCTAAGCACGGGAGAGAAGAGCCAACAGTGTTCAACAACAGCAGGTCACCCCCCCTCCCCAAAAGAAGACATCCCTCAGGCTGCTCTCCAAGTAAGAGGCCACTGCTTGGGTCAGGAAGAGTATTCCACTTATGACCTCCCCTCCCTAACCTAATCACTGCATCTGCAGCTTCTGAACTGACCCAGTCCCAGTGCAGCTCACACCCTCCACGAGCTGCAGTCCAGGCCCACATGCTCCAGGTTCTCTCCCATCAGCAGTCAGTCTGACACAAGGGGCTGCTAACCCTGTGCCAGAGCAGGGCACAGCAGAGTCCAGGGTACACTGGGCCATTCTGCTGCCAGGTCTGCTCAGCTTTTCTTGTCAGGCTGAGGAGACATTTCTCCCCCCAGCCCCATCATGTTTTGTCTCAAGCCCAGGGAATTTGAAGCAACACCTGGTAAGCTGCTGTCATGCCTAGATGCCACCCTGGCTGTCTCAAACATGCAGAGACAGAATCACAGAACAGAATCATAGAATTGTTGAGGTCAGAAAAGACCTTTAAGATCACTGGGTCTAACCATACACTGGCAAGGCCACCACTAAACCATGTTCCCATGCACCACATCTATACATCTTTTAAATACCACCAAGGACAGTGACTCCACCACTTCCCTGAGCAGCCTGTTCCAGTGCTTCATAACCCTCAATCTAAACCTCCCCTGGTGCAACTTGAGGCTGTTTCCTCTTGTCCTATCACTTGTTACTTGGGAGCAGAGACCAGCCCCACCTCTCTCCATCCTCCTGTCAGGCAGTTGTAGAGATCAATAAGCTCTCCCCTGAGCCTCCTTTTCTCCACACTAAACTCCCAGGTCCCTCAGCCCTTCCTCATCACACTTGTGCTCCAGGCAATGCACCAGCTTTGTTGCCCTTCTCCGGCCCTGCTCCAGCACCTCAACGTCTCTCCTGTAGTGAGGGGCCCAGAACTGAACACAGGATTCGAGGAGCAGCCTCACCAGTGCTGAATAAGGTGGACAATTGCTTCCCTGGCCCTGCTGACCATGCTATTGCCAATACAAGCCAGGATGCAATTGGCCTTCTAGACTTTACTAGTTTAGGCAGACAACATCCACAGCCTTTGCCACCTCTCCAGTTTTGCTGTCATGCAAGCATTCTTGTAGTTGCACAGCAGAAGATCCATAAAGGCCCAGAAGTCAACCCTGTTTTCTGATGTCCCTTCAGCTAAGCATCTGCACATGCCCTGGGAGAGTTGTCTCACCTCATCCACTCTGCTTCTCACTTCTGGAGACATTTTATTACCACTGCTGTGAAACTTCAGCTGCTGCTTGGCTTTGTTCACGTCCCGTTCTACCAGCTTCCAGTCCACTTTGATGTATCCCGTGTGGTTTGCAATCTAGAGTTTCGAGGGGTGGAAAGAAAGTTCCTGGAATAAAGCCCTGTGTGATCATGGCTAAACAGACCCCCCCTTACCCAGCCACCTTCCCTGCCCACTGCCACCTACCACACACTGCTCCAGTGGGCTGAGAGGATGAGCACAGTAGCTTAAAACTTGACAAAGGACCACCCCTGCAGCTGTATCAATTGTCCTGCAACATCTGTCCCCACAATAATCCCCTAACAGCAGGACACATGTTGCAGTTAAGCCTGTTTCAGCCTCTATTCTCTAATGTAATGCTGCCATCAACCTCCCTTTCACAACTGCCATGGATATTGTCGGGACTCTCTGCAGCTCTCCTGCTTCTGTGGGTGGACACAGCTATTAATAGCCTGCTCCTCTCCAACTATTTTATTTGGGCAGGATGATTCAGCAGTGAAACTCTCCATGCTCAGAGCAAGCTTTTGGCTTCCAACAGAACAAGCAGAGCCAGAAGAGCAAGGAGAACAAGTCATAACACGAGACAGCGCCTGAGAAGCAAACAAGTATGGTTGTTGAGCAAGGCCTGAGGGCTGCTCTGCTCCTGCAGCATGTAGAACGTACATGTCCACATGGAGCAGCTCCCGCCAGCGCCAAGGGCTCTTGGAAACCTGGAGAAATGACTGAGGACACAGGAAGATCCTGTTTCTCTTCCCCAGTGCTTTGCAGAGAGCCCCATCTGTGCTGGCCTGACTCCTCAAGCAGCCGGGTTGACAGGAAGCATATCATGGACATGGACAAGTACCCCTTGACATCAAGGGCTGTTTCTCCAGGGACACCATCTCCACAGGCATAGGATAAGTACAGCAGCAGCGTGGTTTGCCTGCCCCCTGCTTCACTCAGGTGCCCCTGCACTAACAGCCCCCACGTGCCTTTGGCCTGGCCTTTGCCAGCAGCCCCCTAGAGCAAACAGCACCTTTTGGCAATGCTCAGGTTTACACACACTGCTCCTGCTTTGCTGCTGCATCTACCCCAGGGAACACTCGCCCTTGACATCCATGGTCACACAGAGCTCCTGGCAGAGCAAGGAACAGGACCCTCCTGCCCCAGCAGGTAATGGTCACTAGACAGCCCTTAGTCCCCACCAGCAGAGGTCTCGGAAAGCCTGGCTCCCTGTTCATACACACCTGAAGCAGGAAAAAGCCACCTCCCACCGCTGTCGCTGCCAGCTTTCCAACTTTCTGGAAGATGAATCCCGTACACCTATGAATCAACCATGTTCCAGTCAGGAGAATGAGATGCCAAACACACCCTCCCCAGCACGCTCCCCGCAGGCAAGGCTGCCTTTGGCAGCAGCTACCCAGGACTCGGAGACAGCTGATGAATGGCACAAGAAATGCACGTGCAACCAGAGGGAAAGGATTTGCACCCAGCTTTACAGCTTTTTGCTGCTCACTATCACATTTCAGCCTTTTGCAGTCTTGATTCTTCTCTCTTCAGTGTCAACTCCCAAAAAAGTCCTTGGAAACACATGATTTCACCAAAGGCAGCAAGTGATTTTAGCTTTTTGTCTTTGTTTTAACTGGTGTCATCTCTGAAGGGAAATTAGGCAGCACATCTGCTGCTGCTCCATGACAGAGCATGGGAAGCAGACCACAAGGCAAGCTGCTTTGTTGCCCAAACAACTACCTGCTTTTCATTTCTCAGAAGAGGAAACTGCTGAAGCAAGCAGACAGCAGCGATCTGAAGCTGTACTGGTCTCCAAGATTACACATTCTCAACAGGAAAGACATCACTGCAGCCACCAGAACTCAAGCAAGCAGCACCCCATTGCTCAGCAAAGGGCTGATGTATTGAATCACCAAAAGCAGACTTTGACCACAGTTTCCTTACCAACACTGCAAAACAACACAGCAACCCCCTCTCACCCATTTCTGAATACATACATTTATTGAAGATACAAGAGAGAGATCTGCCCTACACTTTTAAATTCACCCCATGCCAGCTGAAGATGACAGGCACGGCAAGAAGCAAAGCAGTGTGATTACACCAAGTTTTCAACTCAAACAATGCTGCTGTGGGAATGAAGTTGCAAACAGAGCCACAAGCCACCAGCACTTGCTGCAAGTGACACAAAACCCATGAACCATGCCTGCAGACACAATGAGCCACCTCCATAGGAGGTTTCAGTGCAGATGTCTGAAGCACATCCATCTCCAGGGAGGAAGGGATCCTTGTTCCAAGAGGCTCACACTTGCCTGTCGTAAGTTTAACACCACTGCTTTATCCCACAAGTTAAAGAGACTTATCTCACCTCAAAAATTAAAGCCTGATGCCATTTTCTTCCCTAGGAGTCAGTCTCACTTCTTCAGCTCCATGCTAGAGACAGTGTTTCAGACCATGCCAGGGCGCAGTGGGCTGAGCGTGCTGGACACCTGTGTTCTCTGACAGGCTGCCAGATGCCCCCCTGCGGCTGCCTTCCCAAAAGCCCAGCATCCTGCCTGCTACAAGCAGCAACAGCAGCCCCCAGCACCTCTTACCATCCTGTGACCCCTCCGATCAGCAGCTGCGTGGCCACGTTGTATTTCTCAGCGCTTGACCCCGAGCTGGGGGCAAAGACCTTGCGCCACCAGGGCCGGTTCTTGGTGTACTCCGCCAGGTCCAGGACATTGAACGAGTCCTCCGCACCTGCAGGCACAGCGGGAGGCTCAGTGCCCCGGCTGCTGGGCCACAGCCCCCGCCC